AGGTCTCATTTGGTTTCTTAAAATTTGTACTTGTTTCTTTGGTTAGGTTTATTCCTAACCAAATAATGTATAGTTATTGTAAATGGTATTGTTTTCTTGATGTCTTTTTCGCAGCTCTATTCACTGGTATCTAGAAACCTGATTGATTTCTCCTTGTTAATTATGCTGCTACCTTGCCAAATCCCTCAGTTTTCCCAACAGTTTTTGGGCGACGTAGGAGTTCTCTCTAGATAAAATCATATCATCTGAAAATGTGAACGCTTCACTCTTTCTTTACCCAGTTTTTTTCTCTTGATTTCTTTTTGCTGTCTAATCGTTCTACCTAAGACTTTTAGTACAATGTTGTTGTGATAAGGGGCGCTTCTCTACTAACTGTTTTCAGTGTGATATTGGTAGATTTTTTTTTCTTTTCTTTGTGGCCTTTATTATGCTAAGAAGTTTCCTTTCAATTCCTATCTTATTCAGTATTTTTATTAAAAATGGGTGTTATATATTTCTAGTCTTTTTTCTACATCTGTTGGCATCATCATATGGTTATTACTCTGTGTCTTGTTTATGTGGGGATTACATTGATTGTTTTTTGAATGTTAAACCACCCTTACATTCCTGCATGAATCCCACTTGGTCATGATTAATTATCTTTATTGATATATTGTTAGATTCTATTGGCCAGAATTTTATTGAGAATATTTGCCTCTGTGGTCTATAGTTTTCTGTCTTTTGCTTTACACAATTGATCTATGTATTGTGATGTATTGTATGAGCCCCAATAAAATGATTAAAAAAATCTTTTATTTTTATTTTTATGTCTTTTGGGGCTCTGTGCCTAGTTTTGATAGCAGGGTAATGCCGGCTTCATAGAATGAGTTTGGGAGTTTGTTGTCCCTTTCTTTCTTCTGGAATAGGCTGTGTAGGATTGGTGACAGCTCTTCACTGAATACTTGGTCGAATTTTCCTGTGAAGCCATCTGGTCCTAATCTTGGTTTGGAGTTTCTTGACGGCCTTCTCCGTTTCTTCTTTTGTTATAGGTCTGTTCAGGTTTTCTACATCCATCTGTGTTAAATTGAGTACATAATATATTTCTAGGTATTTGTCCATTTCTTCTAAGATATCAAACAGTCTTCCAGAGTACTGTGTTACCATTCTTTTTATTTCAGTTGGATCTGTTCTAGTCTTACCCCATTTCATCTGTAATTTTAGATATTTGCATCTTTCTTTGCTAAGAGGTTTGTCAATTTTGTTAATCCTTTCAAAAAACAACTTCTTGTCTTGTTGATTTTGCCTATTGTTTTGTTTTTGAACTCATTTATTTCTGCTCTAATTTTTATGATGTCTTTTCTTCTGTGGTTGGAGGGTTTGCTAGTGTTATGTGTGTGTATGTGCTGTGTGGGGGAAGTTATGCTATGTCGGGGAAAGGATACCAGAGGACAAAGAAGGGAAGGAGGGAAAAAATGAAGAATGGGTACTGATTAAGTCTATACTAGGATGCCTATGCAATTTGCTATTCATCAAGGCCTCCAGAGGTAAAGGAAGTAAGAGGTTTAGCTGGCTGGTGTACCTCAGGAGCCAGGAAAAATCAGCTGTGCCAGGGAGGAGTGGGCGTCACAGAAATGGCTTGTGCTGCTGGTCAGTGGTAAAGGGGAGTCTGTCAGCAGGCATTGCTGCTTTCTCACTTTAAGAAACCTGGGTCTCTGTAGCTTTGAAGTTCATTTATGGCTGCATGAAAGTTGATGAGGATATCTTCCCGTCCTTGTTATCCGGTGACCGTATTCCTCTTCCCACCACTAAAATTTAAGGATATAAAAACTCTTAATAGTGGGGGGCTTATGTTTTATTTCTTTTGATTTAAAAATAATTGTATTAGAAGTTTGAAGTTATATTAATGATGCTGAATTTAAAATTTGGAATTATAACTATAAAATGCAAAAATAATATTAATAAAGGATATGACAGGCATACATATAATTAGCTATGAGATATCCATAAGATTTGAGGTAGATGTAAGTACTAGGGGACTTCAGAAAATTTAGAAAAGTAGAATTAAAATATAATAGAATTTCTCCACAAACTTTTTAAGTCCCCGCATATATGCAATGCTTTCAGACATCTTCCATCTATTAAAATTTTATTTATATATCCAGATTTATGGCTACCCAGTAAAAAAAAGGGGGGGGGGATAAAAACTAGAACTTTGCCTTGTAGTGATAGTAGAGTAAAAGAGGACACAGCAGACCGCTGGCAGATGCGAGTAGAAGTATGATCCTGGATAGAGTGGAACTCCATGGATATCCAAACCTGTGCTGTAAAGGAAAGAGATGAATAAGTCTTGCCAGTATAAGAGCTGTAGAAAAATCCCTCAGCTAGGCCTAGAAAATCTTCCTCAATACCTTTCACTTCTAGTGCCCTTGCTGAATTATCTGGAAACGTTTTAGCTTTGCAAAACAGATGACTCCACCCTGTAGAAGTCAAGACTAAAGGAAAGGAGTAGTCAGAGTGATTAATACATACTACTTTAGACTCTTACTTGACTGATGGTTTCTCTTTCGGTAACTGTAGACTTAAGTATATATGATTTGATTAGCTTGGCAGGCAGCAGGAGTGGAACACAGAGGTATATAAAGGCTCTACCCAGATTGTCTGCATAAGCAGTAGATGCACTGCACATAGGTGCTCTGGCAGCTTTGTGGAGGAATGAGACTGAAACATCCCTGGGCTTTGATGGCTGTGCGCTCTGGGCTAGAGCGGTGGTTGCCCAGGAAGGGTGCAGCGGCTCCATATTTCATTCCCTCTTTATCCTCAAGTACCTAGAATTGTAGGTGATACAAAAATTTCGCCAATCTGAAAGGAACTCAATACAGAATAATCATTTAGATGTTCATAGTATTGGAAGTTGGAGACATTTTTCTGAGTAATACTTGTATATAGATTATATTCCACCACCTTATGAAGGCCAATGTTAAGAAGACTGATACTGGTCTTGAATCTTTTTCCTTTATAGTTAACTTGTAATTTGACTAGAAGTTGTAAATTAAGAAGGAAGGAGGGAAGGAATCTATGATTTAAGTTTTCTTGTTCAGGATTCCGTGTTCCAAAGCTCCCTCTGAAGATTCTGTCTTGCATGTAAGACAGACAGCCTCCCACCCCTTTTAAGTGCCTTTTTGAGATTTTAAAATTTGTTGGCTGATTCATACATTCCATATGAAGGTGGCCACTGATTTTCATGTCAGCATTGAAATTGATCTTTTATTTGTTAGAAATTCTTTGTGTTTATGTTATTTTCATCAATATATTTGTCTTAAATTTGTTTTTGTTTTGTTTTGTTTTTAAGATGAAACTTTAGTCTAAGAAGTCTTTATTCATCTATTTCATGGGTCCAAATTAGAAAAACTCTAAATGTTGCAGAAGTGTTGAAATACTGGTAAGTAGCTAGTGTGATAAATATTTTGTGATATAGCATAATCCAGTTAACAGTGAAAATACTTTGAAACTGCATAGTTATATGATATAAACTAAATTCCCAAAGAAAAATAACTAAACTTTCCATTAGTAGAGATGTATATGTAAATTGTGGTTTATTCATACAATGGCATATTATACAATGTTTAAAAGAAATTAACATCTGCTAAGATTAGATTTTTGGAAACAAGTAACTATTTTCTTAATGTAAAAAGCAAAAGTGCTCCCTTATAAACCATAAAAATGTTGTTCTGTTAATACTAATCAGTTGCAGATTAGACAGAAACATGGAGGTATACATTAAAATTAGAATCTTCATTATTTTCAGACATTAAGGAAAGTGCAAGAAAACCAATAAGAATGTAATAAAAAGTCTGAAACATGATTACTATGTCAGAATAGATCTGTTTCCTATACCCTCTTATATGCTAATTTCCTATCCCAATTAGAATATACAATGAAATGAAATGCCATTCAACTATAAAATTCTTTAGAATAAACTTAATAAGAAACGTGTCAAAACCTATTATGTGAGTAGAATTTCTAACTCAAGGACTTTGTCTTAAGGACATAATAGGATAGATTTGCCTGTAGTTTAAGGATGTTCACTGTAGTATTTTCTTTGATAATAAAAACCAATAACTTAATCTTCAACAATAAGAAATTGGTTTCATAGAAATAGCACATTTATTCAATGCAATGTGTACAATAGAAAACAGTGCAGCTGTTCACAAAGAATAAGTGCTCTCATGCAAGGGTTTCTACAATGTTGCTGTTAGATGCTGTCAAGTTGACTCTCACTTCTAGCGACGTAAGCGTAAGTACAACATACTTAACTGGAGTCAGCAGATAATCGATTATTTGTATGAGTATATACCTTATTCATGGAAACATGCAACTGATTCTCATTATTCATGTCTGTGTTCTGTAAAGTCTATGCAAATCTTGAATTAGCAAATACTGACCCTTTAATCCTGGGAGAATTCAGGATTAGGTTCCTGTAAGCCTCTTTTCACATTTTTGTCAACAGTTCAATGCATAACCTTGCTTTATGTGTGTTTTTGATGAAAAGCACTTTATTTGATCATATGTTGTTGATTTATTAGCATTGAATGCACGTCCAATAACACTATAATTTATGCTTAAATTAAGATCATCTGACACATAAGGCACTTTTACACCCTTTTGAAGTTAGGAACGCTACTCAGTGCTTCAACACTATGCTTGGATATCATTTTAAATGGCAAAATCACCTCCCCCAAGCACAAAAATGCCAAAACTTGGTTCTAGCTAGCCCATCAAAGGGGCACTTTCTTATAGTACGATAGCTGAAACAAGAAAGTAGAGCATCACCTTGTTTGACCTCATCTAGGACTGTGTGGACTGACCTCCTGAGATGGTCTCCATCCTCTGCCTGTCTGTGTCTGACGTGAACAATACCCCAAGTACTGATTTTAGGATTACAGATAAATTCTATATATATATGAATCTGTAAATATATATGGAAGCTGTGAATAATTAGGATTGATTATACTTTTTTAAATCAAGGAAAAACATATACATCTACATATATTATAATGCTTTTTAACTGACATGGCATCTTGTGCCTTTAGCAAGTAGAATTGAAAGTTTCCTATTAATTATCGAATCAAAAAAATCATGTTAGTTTCCTTGGTCACATTGTATCAGGCAGGCCCTGATTATTACCATATATTTTTGTTTAGTTCTAAATTGCACAGTCTCACACATTTTTAATATTTCTTAAGTTGTCATATGTTATACAGTTGATACTGCCCATAGCACTGCCTCCTGTATCTCTCATGAGTGGACTTGGGGACAGCTGTGCACATCATTTGTGCTCCAGCAGAATTACATGTGTGGCCAGTACTGCAAATGTTTAGTGTACACACTCTCTGAGACTTTTCTACATGCTGTCCGAAACGCTCTGTCCAACCTCTCTGATAAGGTCAAGAAAGTATGTTATTAAAATTTACAGGATGGTGTTGGAAGCTTTAAGAGAAAATCCAAGAAATGAATGCTAACTTTAAGGAATGCTGCATTATGAATGGTCTTGGTGGCACAAAGTTGGAACTATGTGGACAACTCTAAGTGATCAGAAATCATTGTGTCACAGCTTAATGGGTAGGAACCCAGCCCTGTATTTCTCCCAGGAGAAAAAGTTCATGGTACATTAAATAATTATGTGACATAAAATCAGTGACAGATTAGATGAAATATTTTAATAAACTTGATTAAATATGGGCTGAATATTAGGTTATTTGAGTTATTGAAAAATTTTACTTTATGAAAGCTTATTACAGAATCAGTATTTATTGCTGCAGAAGATATTGCTGCAGATATAATACAGAAGATATTGCTGCAGTATAAGAGAATGAGTAATGCATACTTACAAAAATACTTTTCTCTCTATTCCTGATGTTTAATATTAAAAATAATATTTATTATCATGAATAGGGGGTTGTTATTATAATAACATCCATAATTCTGATGAGCATCAAGAATTAAACTACAGGGAACCAATGTAGTATTGGGAATTTTTCTTGTTTTTCCATTTTCTGTTTAGTGGCTTCCCTGTGTACTCCTTTGGTTCATTTTTACTCAATTGCCTTCTTTTACTTCATTTATTTACTTGGGGAGAAGAAAAATCACAGGCCCATTTCTATATGACCTTTTCCGCTATGTCAGCTAGTTCAGATTCCCAAGAGAGAGAAAGAAAACGGAATTGCCTCATTTTCCTCTTTGTAAGATATGCCACACAAATCACGTTTTGCTGGCCACTGTGAATGTTGGCTGCTCCTTAGTCAATTGTTCTTCAGTCAGGAGGATCCAGAGACTGACTTGTACTTTTTGACATGAGACATAGTCGTTTGGCCCAATGCCCTCTCAATTGGGAGTATGGAGAGGATTTACCTTTGGATGGGGTGAAGGTAGATAAGGCAATATACATCTTACTTAATGTATCCTTTTTAGGTTAAAAAATTTCTAAAGGTTACTAAAACCAAAAAAGTTACTATCAGGTTAATTCTCACTCATAGTGACCCTATAGGATAAGGTAGAACGTTCCTAAAGGATTTCCTGGGCTATAATTTGTACACAAGCAAAATACCAGGTCTTTTCTTCTGTGGAGCTGCTGATAGTGGAAGATGTCTCAAATTCATTTTTAAGATGGAGTTATTTTCAAAATTTGGAGATTCTGCACCTAAGTTTTCCTTTCTCAATACTTATTTATATTTGTATCCCCTATTCTATTTTACATTATTATTTTCCCTAGTTTTAAAGTGACACACTGATTGCCCTTTATTTGATTCAAATGTGTAGTAGAAGTAAAGTCTACATGACTCTTCAGCTGCTAAATTTCTTCCAGTTCTTTTCACTTTAATGGGAAACATTTTATTCATCATATTTCTTGAGCTTTTATGTTTAGAGAAGGGTGGGACAGTGCCTGTAGATTCTATAAAGTAAAAAATAACTTATATTTTTATCAATTTAAAAAAATAATCATATGATGTATTTATCGTGAATGAGGTGAGAGGTTTACATTTCAGATAATTAACTCTTTTTTGAACAGTTCAAACCACTCATAAACCCCTGAGTAGCTGCCCTCGGCCCCATGCTACTCTTCTTCCTCTTGTGGACCGCCATACATTCTTTGAGACATGTGAACACCTATCAAACCTCTAGTCTATTGATTCATCTCCCCTTCATGTTCCCTTTGAAACAAAAGTTTCTGTCCCGCCCCCCACCTTATGATAGTGGTCTTATACAATATTTGCCCTTTTGTGATTGACCTGTTTCACTCAGCATAATGTTTTCCAGGTCCTTTCATGTTGTGTAGGTGGTCGTGGTTCATCATTGTTTTTCAGTGGTGCATAATATTTCATTGTGTATGTACACCAAAGTTTCTTTCTCCATTCTCCTGATGGCCATTTGGATTATTTCCATCTTCTTACTATTGTGATCAATGCTGCAATGAACCTGAGTGTGCGTTTATCTGTTTGTGCTATGGCTCTTACTTCTTTAGGGTAATGCCTAGCAGAGGTATTGCTGAATGGTGCAAAGTTTCTATTCCCAGTTATTGAGTGGTAGATTACTTTCCACAGTGCTTGTACATTTTTACAGACCCACTGTGAGGGTTCCAATCCTCTGTGCCTTCTTCAGCTTTTGTCGTTTCTGTTTTACTTGGCTGTTATTGGTAGATGATGCTTTTCTCGCTGATTTGATTCACATCTCCTGGATGACTGAATGGTATGCTTTTCAGCTATTTGAATATCATCTTTGGTGAGCTGTTCATATCCTTTGCCCATTTTTAAATTGGGTTATTTGTCTTTTTCTTACTGAGATTTTACAGTTTTCTATGGAATTTAGAGATTAGTCCCTGTTTGTTGTCTTGTATCCAAAAATTTTCTCCCTGTTTATGGGTTCTTTTTTCACTCTTTCAGTGCACATAAGTGTCTTACTTTTAGTAGATCTCAGTCTTCTAATTTATCTTCTATGTGTGCTTCCTTTGATCTATTTGATAATCTATGTTCTGTAATAGGGCCCCTAAGTTTGTCCCTCTTTCTCATTGATTATCTTTATAATTCTAAGCCTTACATTTATATCTTTGATCTATCTTGAGTTCATTTTGTACATTGGATGAAGTATAGATCCTGTTTCCATTTTCTGCAAATGGAAGATTGATCTAATCTTTCAGCACCATTTTTTGAAAGACAGTCTATTTTTCTTTCTTTAGCACATTGTCAAAAATCAGTTGTCTGTATGTGGATAGATTTATTTCAGGGCTTTCTCTCTGTTCCATTGGTCTATGTAACTATCATTGTACCAGTATCAGATTGTTTTGATTACTGTGGCTCTGTAATAAGTTTTGAGGTTGGGAAATCTGAGACCACCTATTTTGTTCTTCTTAAGAAGTTCATTGCTTATCCTGAGTCTTTTTCTCCTCCATATAAAGTTAGTAATTAGTTTTTTCATTTTTTTACAGATGAGGTTGGAATCTGGATGAGATTTGTGTTGTAGTTACAGATTGCTTTTGGTAGTATTGACATCTTCATAATGTTAAGCCTTCTTATTCAAGAACTTGGGGTATTCTCCCATTTATGTTGGTCTCTTTTGGTTTCTTGTAACAGTGTTCTGTAATTTTCTTTGTACAATCTTTTGTTTCTCTAGTTAGATTTATTCCTAAGAATTTCATCTTTTGTGTGGCAATACTAAAGGTTTTCTTGATGTATTTTTCAGAGGTCTTTTCATTAATACCAGATATGTTTTTATGTGTTGATCTTGAAACTTGCTGTATTGTCAAATCTTTCTATTGCTTCAACAGTTTTTTGTTGTTGAGTCATTGAGGTGTTTTTTGCATAAAATCATATCATGTGCAAATAGAGTTCCACCTTTTTGGCCCATTTGGAGTCCTTTGATTTCTTTTTGTTGTCTAATGGCTCTGGCTAAGTGTTCTAGCACATTATTGAATGAGAGTGGTCATATGGGGATCCTTAATTGCTTCCCATTTGCTGGGGAGTGCATTCTGTTTTTCCCTATTGGTCATTGGTTTTTCACTTGTGATCTTTATCATAACTATTCTATGTTTAAAAGATGGATTTACCTGTTTTGAAACACAGAGGCGAGAATGTAAGTAATGAGTTTAGTCTTCAGGGAGGTTATTTAAGAGAGAAAGGCATGCCCTAACTTCACTACCATCACTCACTGGGTGTGCTATCTCGGCACTTTCACTTACTCATTCCTACCTATTCTTTGGCACTTCAAACCCTGGGACTAGTTTTCTGCCATAGCAGGAATTATTTAAGGAACACTTAGTAAATCATAACTATGTGTGAAAAGATAGGGCTAAGTACCCTTGCCAATTTGTAGGGCAAACTACCCGTTGTTTAAAGTCAATCTTCATTTTAAAGTAAACAACAAAAGTACATAGTTTAACAACGCATATTTTTTATAAGTTTAAAAAATATTCTCTTTTAATCTCCGATATTTACTTTCTAGCTCAACCATGAGCACCAACAGCAACTCATTGGCACGTGAGTTTCTGACTGATGTTAACCGGCTTTGCAATGCTGTGGTCCAGAGGGCCGAGGCCAGGGAGGACGAGGAAGAGGAGACGCACATGGCAAGCCTCGGACAGTACCTTGTGCATGGTCGAGGATTTCTGTTACTTACCAAGCTAAATTCTATCATCGATCAGGTAATAGTTTCTTATCAAGAGTTTTTTTCCATCAATATATTATGTAAGGGTGCTTCAAAAAGTTCATGGAAAAATGGAATTAAAAGGTAATGGAATTTTTTCATAAATTATTGAGCCTCCTATAGGCATATATAAAGGAGCCATGGCAGCCTAGTGACTTACACATTAAGCTGATAAGGCCAGTTATTCAAGCCCACGAGCTGCTCTGTGAGAGAAAGATGAGGCTGTCCACTCCCATAGAAGATTTAAAATCCCAGAACCCTGAAGAGGCAGTTCTTTCCACTGTATAGGTTTGCTCTGAGCCACAGTGGTCTCCATGGCAGTAGGTAGAGGTACCTCATTGGAGTCTCTTAGGTTTGTTTTGTTTTATGAATCATTTTATTATTCTTTGTTTTCTAATTCATGAATTAAACATGTTAAATCTCTCCATTTATTTGGATCTTTGATTCTCTGCAGTATTTTATCGTTTTTAGCAAGGAGATATTGCACAGTTTTGCTTAAACTGATGTCTGTTCATAATATTTTGCTATTAAAAATGATATTTTCAATTTTAATGTTATAGTTCTTTTTTGCTAACATATAGAAACATAATTGATTTAGTGTGTTGTATTTGTTTCTTGTAACTTTGCAGAATTATTTATGAAATTATGAAATTTTGTAGATTTAAGATTTTCTATTTAATATAATATAAAAGAATTATATTATCTGTGAGTAATAACATATTCACTTCTTTCCCAATTTTTATGACTTTCATTTGATTTGTTTTTGATTTGTGCACTGGCTAGGACCTCTATACACAGTTGAGTGACATTGATGATACTGTCTATCCTTCACTTATATGTCCTTTCAATATTTCAGCATAAGTGGGATGTACTCTAGGTTTCCATTAGATTATTTTTATCAAAATGAGTAAATTCTTTTTCCTCTCCATTTGATAAGCATGTTTTATCATGAGTAGATGTTAAATTTTATTAATATCTTTTGTGCATCTCATGAGACTATTATGATTTTTCTCCTTTATTATTTTAATGCCAATATATTACAACAATTATTTTTGAGTATTGAACCAACATCACATTCTGGGATTAATTCCCATGATTGTGATTTATTACACACAGATACTTTAATATATTCTGAAGAAACATTACTCTGTATAAGTTACAAAAAATACTATTTTTAAAGGTTAAAATATGCCACTGTTAATTTTTTTTACTCAGACCTTTACAACTTTTTGAAGGAAACCTTGTTCAATCTAAAAATTAATTATCCCAGCTTTTTGTCTTGGCCCTAATGTCAACCACAGAGACAGCTTTTAGTCATTAATAACTGCAGACCTCAGGGTCATCATAAATAACAGAATAACATTCAGTTGAGTGACTTAAAGGATCCCTTGAATTTTTGTGTGTGTGCACTAAGGGCACACAACAGAACAGCAAGGGGAACAGAACAATGAAGTCCCCAGGGAATACCAAAAATAGACTTAAGGGCCTGGGCACGGCACCCCATCCACTCAACCGGAAAATACCCTTAAAGGTCAACAAACAGACCTTAGACCATTTTTAGGCTTTTCTTTGTTGTTGTTGTTGTTGTTGTTGTTTTGTTTTCTTTTGTTGCTTTGTTTTGCTCTGTCTTGTGTTTGTGTGTATTATTATCTTTGCATATCTATCTAGGTAAAATAGGTGTGATAAACAACCTGGAGGAGAAAACAATGGGACCAACTGGTTCCTGGGGACATGGGAGAGGGGGAGGCGGGGAAAAGCAACTGGGTGTTAACAAACCCAGGGACAAGTGAACAACAAGTGATCCAAAATCGATGGCGAGGAGGGTTTAGGGCTTGACCAAGGGCAATGTAACTGAGAGGAATTACTAAAACCCAAATGAAGGCTGAACATAATAATGGGACAAGAGGAAAGTGAAAGGAAACAGAGGAAAGAACTGGGAGACAAAGGGCATTTTTTATAGAGGTCTAAATACAGGCATGTACATATGTTTGTATATGTACATATGTTTGTACATATATTTGTATATAACGGTAGGGAAATAGACCTATGTGCATATATTTATATGTTAAGTATCAAGGTAGCAGATGGACATTGGGCCTCTACTCAAGTACTCCCTCAATGCAAGAACACTTTGCTCTATTAACCTGGCATTCCATGATGCTCACCTTCCCGACCCAATCACTGACGACAAAGCAGGTGTATAAGTAAATGTGGTGAAGAAAATTGATGGTGCCTGGCTATGAAAAGATATAGCGTCTCGGGTCTTAAAGGCTTGAAGATGAACAAGGGGCCATCTAGCTGAGAAGCAACAAAGCCCACATGGAAGAACACACCAGCCTGTGTGATCATGAGGTGTCGATAGGATCAAGTATGAGCCCTCAAAGACCCAGAACAAAAAATCATATCATTGTGAATGAGGGGGAGCACGGAGTGGAGACCCAAAGCCCATCTGTAGGCAACTGGACATCCCTTTACAGAAGGGTTGTGGGGAGGAGACAAGCCAGTCAGGATGCAGTATAGCACCGATAAAACATACAACTTTCCTCTAATTCTTTAATGCATCCGTCCCCCCACTATCACGACCCCAATTCTACCTTACAAATATGGCTAGGCCAGAGCATGTTCACAGGTACAGATAAGAGCTGGAAACACAGGGAATCCAGAACAGGAAAACCTTTGAGGACCAATATTGACAGTAGCCATACCAGGAAGGTAAGGGAAAGGTGAGGGGAGACAGGGGGAACTGATCATAAGGATCTCCCTATAACCCCCTCCTAGGAGGATGGGCAACAGAAAAGTGGGTGAAGGGAGACATAAGTCAGTGTAAGACATGAAAAAATAATAATTTATAAGTTTTCAAGGGTTTATGAGTAAGGGAGGGTGGGGAGAGAGAGGAAAAAATGAGAAATTGATACCAAGGTCTCAAGTAGAAAGCAAATGTTTTGAGAATGATGAGGGAAACAAATGTACAAATGTGCATGACACAATGGATAGATGTGTGGATTGTGATGAGTTGTACAAGCCCCCAATAAAATGATTCTTAAAAAATGAAAATAATATGTGGACTTTTAGACACATGTTCTACTAGATGTTCCTGTACATCATTTTAATAAATGATATCACTTGTAAAAAAATTTGTATGTATGTGTGCATTAGGTAAAAATTTAAAGAGTAAAATTAGTTTGTTTCTTTTTAAAAATGTTTTAATCATTAGGGGCTCATACAATTCTTATCACAATCCACACATACATCATTTGTGTAAAGCACATTTGTACATTCATTGCCCTCATAGTTTCTACATCCAGTGTTCCACAAAATTGATTATATTCTCTACACTGTGCTCACACTTTCCCATTTCTTCTCTGAGTTTCCTATTTCCTTTTATTTGCATTTCTACCCCATCTGACCTTCTCATTTTTGCTTTTGTACACATATTTCCCTATTGATTCATATTGATTGAATGTTCTAAAGAACACTTTCCTCTCCAGTGTTATTGTTTACTTTATGGGCTGATGGACTGTTTGGCTGAAAGGCGGTCACTGTGGATGGCTTCATTTTCAGGACAGGAAGGTGTCTTAGGAGCATAGTCTCGGGAATACCTCCAGTCTCTGTCAGACAGTAAGTGTGGTCTTCTTTGTGAATTTGATTGTATTCCCACCCCCTCTCTATTCAGGACCTTCTCTTATGATTCTGTTTAGCGCATTCTGTAATGGTAGCCAAAGTAGCCCTGTTGGGGTGTTGGTTATGTGGTGGGTAAATGCAAGGTCAGTAGTTTGAAATCACTAGCCAGCTCTGAGGGAGAAAGACAGTGCTTTCTACCCTCATAAAGGGTTATAGTCTCAGAAACGCACACGGACAATTCTACCCTGTCCTAGAAGGTTGCTATGAGAATTGACTCCATGGCAGTGAGTTTGGGTTTTGGTTTGGTAGTCATAGCCAGGCACCACCTTGCTCTTCTGGTCTCAGGATCCTACAACCTGTGGTTCATTTGATCTTTGGACTGATTCTGTCTTGAGTCTTTGGCTTTCTACACTCTCCTTTGTTCCAGATGAAAGAGACTAATAGTTGTATCTTAGGTGGCTGTTTATAAGCTTTGAATATCCAAGACATTTTTCACCAAAGTAAGATACAGAACATTGCCTTTATGAATTATGTTTGCCAATTGACGTAGATGTCTTCTGAGTGTATGGTTAAGGAATCCCATATGGATGTTGTACAACATGTCATATGACCCATTTTAGTGAAATTTTACTTAATGGGGAAAAATACTTTTAAATTATAATATGTGCCATAGTTTTAGAAATTCCCCAAGTGGGTGGGTTAAACAAAAAAATTAATTTTTTTCACAGTTCAGGAAGCTAGAAGTCTGAATTCAGGATGCTCACTCCTGGAATAGTTTCTCTCTAACTGCTCTGGAAGGGAAATATTTGTCTCAGCTTCTTCTTGGTATTCTTTGCAGATCTCCGTATGACATCTATCCTCCCATTTCTTCTTGCTTGCATCTATGCCTAATACCCTTTTGTGTCTCCAAAGGAACTGGTTTAAAACATACCCTACACTGATATGGCGTCATTATATAACAAATCCTAATCCCAGGTGAGATCATATCCATAAGTAAGTTGTTCTTTGGGTACTCTTGAGTCCATTCCAACTCGTGGTAACCCCATGTGATGGAGAACTGATTCATAGGGGTTGGGGATATAATCTTTACAGCAACAGATCATTAAGCTGGCCTTTCAGTTAGCAGCTAAGTGCTTACAAACTGTGCTACCAGGCTCTACTGAACGTTTATATATTTTTGATACACCATACAGTTCATGGCACCATGCTAAGTAGTCTTAATTTAATTTTGAAAACATTTTGGAGATTTTTAGGCAAGGAAATGGGCAATGGGAATTATTCTTCCTGTTTGACAACTAAATTAAATCATTGCTTGCATCAACAAGAATTATTTTAGCAGGACAAACAGTCAGACTTTCAAATGTGATGAGGATCATA